ATTTAGAACCTTCATGTGTACTGGGTCAATAGGCAGACAGGCAGCGCTCTGTTCAATACCTTTTTTTCATGCAAGTATGTTCAAGCTAAGACCAGTAACATGAGTTCTTGCACCGTGTTTTTATTTGTAATAAAGCATTCACAAATTCCCTGTGCAAAAGTTGTGTTTTGCTAACTCATCAGAAGTGCTACATTGCAAAAAGGGTAGCCCCAAACAAGAGGGGAGATGAAGAATATTGCATTCCACTTTCCTTTAAAATCACACTAATATTACACCTGGCGAGCCCTTTTCTTCCTGGTATTGTTTTCACTGTGGCTTATGGGAGATTTGCCATTGACTTTCATGGGATCAGACTGTCATCTTTAATCCAACACCTTTCTCTTTAATCTGCTTGTTTACAAAAGAGAAACTTTTGCCAGCTAACCACTTCAGATAAGAGAAAGGTAGTGAAGAGATATAGTGAGAGAAGAAAAATGAACTTTCATCCTCAACTACTAGAGCAGGAATTTAGTAACAGCAAAGAGCCATTTGTAAGAGAAGTAATTCGGCTCACGGTGAAACACAGTCATCTACGCAGAAGCATGACACTAATTAACAATGATCAAGCTGGGATATACAGTACAAAAAATACAAGCAGCTCATAGAGGCAAACGCCTTCTCCCAGAAACAATTTACAGACTGTTAAAGTCATTGGAAAAAAACTTGAAGGCAGAGACTGATCAGCAGTCCTAAGTTAGTTTATTCTACAATGACAATATAAAATAATAATACATACTGTAGAGCATTAAAAAACAGTAAGTGTGCCAGGTCAGGCCTGTCCCTGCTGAAGCCCCACTTTGGATCCTGCACCAACGAGAAGGCAGCTGTGGCGTCCCAATTAAAGGGAGCCACCAGAACAGCTCCCCGACTCTTTCTGCTCAGTTGTCATGTCTGGAAAAGGGCATCCTGCCCGTGCTAAAACCACGCACGTATTCCTCTCCCCGAGCAGCAGCTCCTCTGTTAGCACTTTCCACTGGCTCTGGTGTTCACAGGCGACAAAGCTCCCAACAGCAAGATGCAAAAGCCCTAAAGAAACTCCTAACTCACGCACTGTCCCAGGCACAAGGAAAGAGAGTTGAAAATGCCCCACAGTGTCAGAGCACGGCCAGGGAATTCACTCACCGTCCCCCTACCAGTAATGCAGCCTGGGCTGGGGTGCAGGCTCAGCCAGAGGGAAAAGCAGTTGCTAGGAAAACCCAGGCACACTCCTTTCACTGGTCTGAGCAGGGCACGGGTGAGACACAGCTCTTATTATTTCCATTTCGAAGGGGCAGCTTTCATTTCTGTCCAGTTCCTGTTCGTTAGTGCCCTCTTGCTGAGACAGCTGAATGCCTTTGACTGACTGAAAGACTCCACTGATGTTGCAGCTGTAAAATCCAAATATAATGAAAGTTAGTAAAGCCTGAGGTTGGCAGTGGACATGGCAAAGCAAAACACTTCGAACCAGCTCATTTTGCCAAATGAATTAAGAGCATTAGCAGTACAAGTGTGAAAAAGCCCTTCTGGAGTTTCTAGTGCACCACACAGACATTTCCAACCCATCTGGGAGGATATCTGCAGTCCAGATTTAAACCTCATTTGGAAATCATGCCTGTCCTATCTTATAAAGCAAACCAAAGTTATATAGCCTACTGAGTATTAAAATGTGTATTTCACAGTCTGAGCTTTTATGCACTCTACTTTTCATTCCTAGTGCTTCTCAATGATATGAATTAATGAACTCTGGACTTTATTGTAGTAATCAAGGAATATGACCTTGCAATTATAGTATTGCAGTATTGTTTAAAAAAATGAGTGTCAGAAAAAAGATGCAGGCCTAAGCATAGGCCAGGCTTGAGTCCTAATCCTGCCTTTGCAGGTCTGTAATGCGGTTTTGCATGAGGCTGGGGATTTCTGTGCCTCATTCTCTGCAGAAGGATATGACTACTTACCTACTTGATGGAGTCAGAAATGCTTATGAATTTATAGTCCCGTATGTCTTTTGCAAGTTCTTCAGTGATTCGAGAGATGAAAAGTAAATTTTTCCACTAGATCTCCTAACCACATGAGTATATTTTATTGCTAAGTTGAAGGTTTTCATTTTCAGATTCATCCAACTGTAAAATAACTATACATTTGGAAAAAATCAAAACAATGTACTTAATTTGTTCACGGTCAGCTTTGGTTAAACCTTAGTGGATTATTCATAAAAGCCTAGAATTGGATCCTGCTATTATAGTAGAATAGGCAAAAGGCTATTGGAGACACAGTCTTTTGTATCCTAGACAAAGGCAACAAACCTTTTGTCCATCAGACCTGGCTCTTTTGATTCACTAATTTTAAATGACACAGTGACTCTCAGGAAAGCATGGTCATTCTGCTCAAGAGAAAGGAGCTGCAGTGTGATAGGAAAGGACAAAACTGTTAATATCAGACCCCTCCTGGAAATGAAATGCCTGCTCCGCAGCATGAGCATTAAAAAAAAAACCAACGCGTACAATTCTAACTAACCCCACGGAAGTCAATGGTTAAACTCAACAGAGCTAGGCTTTTACTCGGCATGTTTGAATGAGTTATTAAACGAACTTTAGTTGTCCCTAAAAATAAATGTACTGTGTGGATATAAGTGCAGCTGATGAATAAGAAACCTCGGGAATCTAGCAAATACAGTAGTTAGGGCTAAAACCGGAGACAGCACAGAAGGTTGCAGAAGAGAGTAGCTATTAGTGGCCATCTGAGCTTTATGTTGAAACTCAAGGTCTCTCATGCCATCTACTGGCTTTTTTGATTACTAACAATGGTTTAAATCTTTCTCCTCCAGGTTTATTTATAGGTCTGATACATTCCAGGCAGTTTTATATAAATCCTAATCAAGGTTTGGGGTGGGTTTTTTTTTTCCCTCTAACCTCCACACTTGATTATTATGTGGGTTTTTTTCCTGTAAGTACATTACAACTCTGTACCTTTCTGAACACCATTTCACATTGTCTCTGGAGGAAAAAGACACTGCCTAAGACATTCTCATTTCTGTTATTGCTGGATAGGCAGTAATTACATTGCAAGCAGGGCTGGGAGAATAGTTTACTAAGAAAATCCAAAGCTGTTCAAAAATAGCACTTACGGTTCTTCCTCAATCAGTGTGAGAAGGTTGTTATTTTGGCACCTGAAAATGCTTTAATGTACCAAAAAATATCTGGTTTTCCCTCTTTTTTCCCTTGCAGTTCACTTAGCTGTAATTCACAGTGAACATTTATATGTCCTAATATTATTAAGTTTACTTTCAGATGGGTTTGGGGAAGCAGGAATTATATATAGACAGATCTGATCACAGCACTTCCCTTCATTATCTGTAGCCTGTTTCTTCCTGACATCCCAGTTTCTCATCCCTATTTATATGTGTCCCCTGGCCTCTTCAGCTTCTCTCAGCAGGACAAAGGTGCGCATCTCAGCACACCTTCACCCAGCTCCCGGGGGGAGCAGGCAGCCCTGCAGCTATGTACCATGCCCCATCTAGAAGCTGTTCAGGCAGCTTCAAAATTCACATTGCACCCCATGTCAAAACATCAGCCTGCTGAAGCTTTTGGAGCTTTACAAACTTGCTGTCTCTTCTCTCTGTGCTTTCCTTCTGCAGTACCTTTCACTCATCTATGATTACAAACAGGCTAAGGACCAGGGACATGTGTCACA